CTGCTGTACTGGCAGCCGTCAGCCTGGCTTGTGGCTGAGCAGAGCTCCTCCCATGTGAGAGCGCCCTGACCACCAGAGGGCAGCTCCTGCATTGAGCGTCTGCCCCCTGGTGCTCAGTGTGTGTCATAGTGACCAATCATTCCTAGTCGTTCTGTTGTTAGGGTCAGTTTGCATATTACCCTGTTACTATATAGGATAGAGGCCTGGGGCATGGGTGGGGGCCAACTGGTTTGCCCTGAAGGGTGTCCCGGATCAGGGTGGGGGTCCCGCTTGGGTGCCTGGCCAGCCTGGATGAGGGGATGATGGCTGTTTGCAGCTGGTCACACCCCCTTCAGGGTGGGGGTCCCCACTGGGGTGCCTGGCCAGTCTGGGTGAGGGGCTGAGGGCCGTTTTCAGGCTGGCGGGTGACTGAAGCTCCCAACCTCTCCTTTTTTTCTTTTTTCTTTTTTTATTCTGGGATTTATTTACCTTCTATGGCTGTCACTGGAGCTGAGAGCCGGCTTTAGCTCTGAGGCTCGGCTCCAGCTCTGAGACCTCGGCTGCTGAAAGCAGGTATCTGGGCTTTGTTTAGCTTCTATAATTGAAACACTGTTGCAACTCCAGCTCTGAGGCCCGGCTGGCTGAAAGCAGGTTTCTGGGGATTGTTTAGCTTCTATAATTGCAACATAGTTGCTTAGAGTGCAGCTCAGAGCTGGGCGGCGGCAGGCGGGAAACCTTGGCTTCCTCCATCACTGGAGCAAGCAAGCCTCCTGTTCACTTCAGCTGCCTGGCTGCCGACCGCCATCTTGGTTGGCAGTTAATTTGCATATCGCCCTGATTAGCCAATGGGAAGCGTGTTGGAGGTATGGTTAATTACCATGTTTGTCTATTATTAGATAGGATTATACATTTTCATGGAAACAAATGTAGCAAGTATCTATATTCTTTATCTCTGCAGATATTGAGGCTTAGATAAATTAAACCTGTGGTACTTACTGTAAGGTACTGTCTAACACTGAGATCGTCTAATAAGCAAAAAAATTGTGTCTGTCCTACTTTTTTAATAATGTAGCCTATTTTTTTAATAACTAAAAGTTTCAGTACTTTACATGGTAATAAATGTCTCCTCCTTTCCCACCCCAACTTTACAGATGGAGAAATTAACGTACAGAGAAACTGACTTGTCAGAGGTCAGAGCAAGGTATTGGTGAATCCAGGGATAAATCCCAAACTTCTTAACACCTTGTCCAGTTTTTAGATCATTGACTATGCAGCCTAGTGGTAAGTATCTTTTTACCCTCCTGACTTGGAGGTAAGAGGGATTAAGAGCCTTAGCAAGGATTGAATTTAGATAATTTCTCACTACTAGTTAGATTATTCATTATCCTTTTCTGTTAGCCATGATGTCATTTTTGTCATTAGCATGAATTTTCCAGGTCATGAAAGGAGGTTGGAAGTTTTGCTTTTTTTTTTTTAAATTTTCAATTATAGTTGACATTCAATGTTATTTATTTTTATATATATTTGTATTGATTTCAGAGAGGAAGGGAGAGGGAGGGAAAGATAGAAACAGCAATGATGAGAGAGAATCATTAATCGGCTGCCTCCTGCATGCCCCCCACTGGGGATCAAGCTTGCAAACTTGGCATGTACCCTGTCCTGGAATTGAATGGTGACCTCCTGGTTCATAGGTCAACGCTCAACCACTGAGCCATGCCGGCTGGGTGGAAGTTTTGCTTTTTATTTAAATACTTAAAAATAATTCTGTAATGGTTCAACTACACTAGAGATTATTATTAAGAAAGGAAAGAAAGAAAACCTATTTAATGAATTTTTTCTCTGTGTTAGATACCATGCTAGAAACTTTGCATTATGTTATTTTACTTAAACTAGAGGCCTGGTGCACGAATTCATGCACGGGTGGGGTCCCTCGGGGTGGTCTGCGGAGATCGGGCCCCAGCTTGTGCCCCCAGCCCCGCAGCCCTGCAGCCCTGCCTGGCACCCAGCCTTGGCCTGGCGCCGCCCCCTCACCTGCTCCACCATCTCACTTGCAGGGTGATCGATCAGAGCCAGGCCCTCTGCCTGGCTCCCTCAGTGCCTGGGAGCCGGGTGGCAGCCCCGCCCGCGTTGCCCCTGCTGGTCACCATCTGCGGGGCGATCAGCGGGGCAATTGGGCCCTCGCTCACACCCACCTTGGCCTGGCGCCTCCCGCTCACCTGCTCCACCATCCTGCTGTGGTCCCACTCTCATCGGGGCCCATCAGGGCCAGCAGCACCTCCACTGCCACCCACTGCCAGCGCTACGTCGCTGATGCCCACCATGTTTCGCGCTGCCCCCTGGTGGTCAGTGCACATCATAGCGAGCAGTCGAACTCTCAGTCGAATGACCACCCAAGGGAACAATTTGCATATTAGGCTTTTATTGTATAGGATGTCCTTAAAACTTATAGCCATTTCTGGAAGGTATACATTCTTACCATTTTATAATGATATTTTTAATAATATTAGTTGAATTAAATAGACAGGTATCTTATAAAATTCAGAGTTTAAATTCTAGTAAAATTTGAGATTTGTGAAAACTAAGAACCTTCTCTGAAATATTTAAAGCTAAAATCTCTTTATGTTTAAGCATAGTTTCTAAGGTGGATGATTTGTCCGATATTAAGTCAAGCTTGCTCTTTCACTTGACACTAAAATCATATTTTCTCTAAAGTCTTCTTCTGTCTCTACATCTGAAATAGTTATAATTCTTTTAATCACTAAGGAGGTTGAACAACCAAAGCCATGTGTAAAGCAAGGGTGTATATGGGCCTTGAGAACCAAGGTCCCATAGGCCATAGGTATATTCTCTCCTCCATCCCTCACCTCTGCTTCTCTGCCCATCGACTTCTTGATACTTGTAGATCTGCATTCTCCATTATAGTAAAAAATATAGCCACTGATACTAACTATATTTTACTTCTCTTATCATGCTCCCTTCTGCTTCAGCCACACTGAACTTCAGTTGTCCAGCATGGCATTGTCCAATATGTATTTTTCTTCCTCTTATAGATTAAAGGACAAGTGCCTTGTTATAGATGTCTGTATCTAAGTATCAGTCTCAATGTCAAAATTGTTTTTATGAAAGCATGCATTTAAATATTGACTTCTTAATACATATAATTTTTCTCTCATTGTGTAACTATTTTTGAGTTTGGTTAAAAAGACAAACTTTTTTTTTCTTTTTTTGAGTGGTTGCTTTGTGCCAAGTCTCAGCAATATTGACTAGCTTAGTAATATTTAGTTCTGATACTCTGTGACAGGCATAGAAATAGGAGGTAGAGCTGTTCCTGTACTCTCCTTGGGGATGTTAGCAGAAAACTATTGCAAAATAACAGTTGTCCTTGACCATGATGAATAAATAGGACTCTTTCAAATAGAGAAAGAGGGAAAAGTCCAGAGATATGAAACAGTATGACATGTTTGTTATGTTTAGATAGAGTTTAGGACTTGAGAGATAATGCAAACTTAACTCAGATTAGGAGTAGAGGAGATGGCCATTTTAGAGGTAGAACTGATATAATTTGATAACCTAGTTGATTTGGAAGGCCAGGGAGTTCAAACAATTAAAAAGGATTTCAGGTTTCTGAATTGTTACTGTTAACTGGGAAAAGGACTACTAGAGAAGAAATACCCTGCCTGGGAAAAGGAAATAAAACAAAACTAGTTATTTAAAAATAGTAGCTACATATACTCTGAAACATGGCCATTATTCTTAGAATGCTTGAAAAGTTATATGACTAGTTCCTTTTTAAAATTTTTTTAAAATATATTTTTATTGATTTCAGAGAAGAAGGAAGGAGAGAGAGAGAGAGAGAAACATCAATGATGACAGAGAATAATTGATCAGCTGCCTCCTGCATGCCCCTCTCTGGGGACCGATCCAACAGAACTTACTGATGGATTGGATGTGCCTTGACCGGAAATCAAACCATGGCCTCCTGGTTCATAGGTCGACGCTCAACCACTGAGCCACACTGGCTGGGCACTAGCTCCTTTTTTAATATATGGAATTCTATCAGATGCTGTATTATGTTCATTTAGGAATTGATACAGGGACAGTTATCTAATCCATTGAGTAATTTATGGTGATGCTTTAAAATTAAGCATTTTGTAAAGTAGTTTGTTTTCTCTCCTTTTCTTCTTTGTGTGCTGCTTTCTAGGTTCCACTAGTTTGTGCCAGGAGTTTCAAATATTCTCAGAAGTTCCTTTTTCATTGTTTTGAATTGAACTTTATTTGGTACCTTTCAACTGAGTTAAAGTCATTTTGTTCATTTTTCTTCACCATTGAGTCTGGCTTTTGTTTTTTGTCTTTACTAAGGTATTTCTTCTAAACTGCATTAGTCACTTTGAAATACTGTTTTATTAATGATCTTGCAACCTCATTTCTATTTATTGTGGCTTCATGACGCAATTTTACATATACTGGTAGCTCATCTTTACTTAAGTCATATAGTACTGAAAAATTGTATAAATAAATGCACTATATATTGGTATATAATTTTTAAAAATACATTCCTTCTAATTATAAAAATAATTGTGAAAAACTTTAAACATAAATTCAGTTATGATACCCTAATATCTTTTGTCTCTGTCAGCAATTTTTAAGCCTGATAAACTTTGTAAATTTTAATAATTATTTAGAGGAGAACAGACATGGCAAATTACTGGAAAGACAGGGGACCTCAAACCAGGAGTGAAGGCACATACTTGGAGTGGAACACTGACCACTTCGACTGGAATGTGGTTGAAAAGGGAAAAGTCATAACACATAAGACCAGAGGAGTGACAGGAGCCAGATCCGGCATAGCTTTGTAAGGTATCCTTAACTCAGTGTGAAGCTGTTGGAGGTCCTCAAGCAGATAAATGACATTTTATGTTTTAAAAGGATGCTCACTTTAACTCCTGTGTGGAGAATATGTTGGAGTAGGGCAAGAGTAGAAAAAGGAAAAAACAAGTTAGCAGGCTGTTGTAATTTTCCAGGGCGGAGGTAATGGTGATTTGAACTACAGTGTGAATGATGAGATTAAGAGCAGTGGATGGATTTGGGATAAGGGCCAACAGAACTTACTGATGGACTGGATGTGCGTGTAAAGGAAATAGAGGCATCAAGGATAATTTCAAGGATATTTGGCTTAAGCAACTAGGTGATAGAGATGCCACTTACTGGTTTGGGGAAGACAAAAAGAGGAACAGGTTGGCAAGATAGGCCATTTTGTTTTAGTCAGACTGTTTCAATCTGTTCAGTTTGAAATATCTGATTGATAACCATGTAGAGATGGTCTGTAGGTAATTGTATATTAAGTGTGGAATTCCAAGAAGAGGTCAGTGCTGGAAATAGGAATTTGGGAGTTATCTTACTGGAGTAGTGAGCAGAAAAACCCTATTTGAATGAGGCGATAATGTAAGAAAGAAGGCAGTGATTATAGACAACTCTTAAAATAAGTTTTCCTTTTTTTCCCTTTTTTGTTTAAAGAAAAAAAAAGAAGTATACCTCTTTATACCTAGTGAAATATTTTGCTTTAAAGCTTACTTTATCTGATCCTAATAAACTACTTCAGCTCATTTTTGTTGGCAGTATTTTTTTGGTATATTCTTTTGTTGTTCCCTTTTTTATATTTGAGGTTTATCTCTTGTAAATAGCATGTTTTGTTTTTTAAAATATAATCCAACCATATTTGTTGGATTTTAATTGGAATAATTAAAACATTTCATTTTCATTGGAAAAAAATAAAGTAAGTTTTCCTATGAAGGAGAGAAAAATTGAAGGACATAGCAGGAGAGAGATATATCAGATTAAGAGGTGGTGTTTGTTGGATTTTTGTGTTTATTTGTTTTGATAGGTGAAGGAGTAGTAAGAATGCTGATGCAAATGATCTATTAGAAGGGCGGTATTTGCAAAGCCCTACGAGGAGGAAAAGAAATGAGATCTGGAGCAAGAATTGAGGGTTGACTTTTGATAAAAACAAGGACACTTTATCCAAGGCAACAGGAGAACAGTCAGAAAGAATGATGAATAAGTAGCTTCATTCATTCACCAAATGTTAACTGAGAACCTGCTACTATACTATGCAATGGGGATACTAGTATACCACTAAATAAGATGTGTACCTTTCTGAAATGAGCAGCATGTAGAAGGTTCCTATCCCTTTTTGTTGTTTTCTCAATGAACCCTGAATTAATGTACTCTCCTAAGGGCAAAGGTGAGGGAGGGAATATTTGGAGTATGCGTAGAGAGAAGGGCATATGAATTTGTTTTTTGGAAAGTAGAAAAGCAAACTTAGTAGAGAATGTGGTGTGATTTGCAGATGGTGTTAAGTAGCATTTGAGAGTTATGGCCATGAGTTTAAAGTGAGACCAGTAAACTTGCATTTGTTTTTCTTCAGTAATGAACTGTTGGGATAGGCATGGTATAGGTGGATAAGTGGCTTAAACCAGTTAGGATTGAGGCTTGGAGGGGGTCCAGAGTGTTTGCAGGAAGTGATTTTAATGAGAGATCATGGAATCTGAGCTGGGTAGGAAGAGAAGTGAAAACGTGATGGGTGATTAATGGTGAGAAAGTGGTAGATGGTCAGTAGACGAATCTAAATTTTCAGACAAGGAAAATGTATTTCCATTATATAAGTTATGTATCCTCTTTATAGAAAAATTTAAAATATATGAGATTAGAAAATAGAAAGGGGGAAAAGACTACAGATAGGGTGATTTAAACAATACAAATTTATTTTCTCACAGTCCTGGAAGCTGGAAGTCCAAGATCAAGGTTTCGGACGTCATTTTCTTTCTGAGTCCTCTCTCCTTGGCTTATAGACATCTGTCTTCTCCCTATGTCTTTTTTTTTAAATTTTATTTTATTGTTTAAAGTATTACAGATAGTAGTACATATGTCTCCTTTTTTCTTTTTTTTTTTTTTTGCCCCATTGACCTTCCCCTGGCCTCCCCTACCCCCCCCCACCCCACCCCTGGCACATGCCCTCACCCCACCCCCCCAGTGTCTTATGTCCATTGGTTTTGCTTATATGCATGCATACAAGTCCTAACCGGTTTGGCTCAGTGGATAGAGCACCAGCCTGTGGACTGAAATGTCCCAGGTTTGATTCCGGTCAAGGGCATGTACCTTGGTTGTGGGCACATCCCCAGTAGGAGGTGTGCAGGAGGCAGGTGATCGATGTTTCTAACTCTCTAGCCCTCTTCCTTCTTCTCTGTAAAAGATCAATAAAATGTATTTGAAAAAAAAAATCCCTGTGTCTTTACATCATCTTTTCTTTGTCCCAGTCTCTGTCCGAATTTTCTCTTCTTATATGAATGTCCGTCATACTGGATTAGGGCCCACCCTAATGACCTAATTTTAAGTTAATTACCTGCTTAAAGACACTCCAAATGGTCACATTGAGATACTAGGGAGGATTTCAACATGAATTTTGGAGGGACACAAATTAGCTCATAACAGGGGTGTTCTTTGTCATTTCTTACATAATTGTTATTTTTCCATGAATATAATTTTATCCCATATTTTAACAGATAACATTATAACCTAAACATTTTCCTGTTTTATTGTTTTGCCTTTGTAAAAGTTTAAGAGCTGCAAAATACGTTGTCAAGTGAATGTATTGGAATAACTTAGCCTTCTCTTTTCAACATTTATGTATTTCCTCCCCCCTTTTTTGTTATTTATAAACATTACGGAAGCTTTTAAAATAAAAACCTTTTTTTCTGTATCTTGAATTATTTCCTTAGAATAGAGTCTAAGAAGTACTTTGTCAGAAACTATTAATACATACTCCTCAATTGGAGAAGTATTGAATCTTATATTTTCTTTGCACATGACTTCTTTTTTTATTTCCCACAGAAATAGACTGGAACGATGTTAGAAAACACAAATATGGTCATCTGTTGGAGTCTGCATCCCAATATCAAGGTAAGAAAAATATTCTGTTTAGCATGGAAGACTTATCTGGCATCTCTTACCATAAAACCTTTGAGTGTACAAAATATTCACTGGTTAAAACAAAAGCAAATATTGTCATTTATAGAGGTATCTGTCAAAAGCAATATGCTTTGTTTTGAACTGGAAATTTTAGTACAGATAATCCCAAATTAGCTCCATAGCTTTAGGCATAGTTGGTTAGCTTCTCTGGACTTCCATAGTTTTTAAGAGGCTTGGGTGGTATACCAGTACTTCTACAACTATTACTACTAAACTTAATGTCTTTTAAAATGAGAGAGTTGGAACTCTCAAGCCCTCGTTTTACCCCCCGATCTTCACCTTTCTATCATTTTGGGATGTTTGTCATGATGACTTATGCTATAACATTTTTTTCTTTAATAGAAGCTACTGACATCCTGGAGTTAGGTAAGATATTTTTCTTGTGTTTCTGTTACTAAACCAGTGATTAGATTATAACTAGGAAAAGAATTCCATGTGTCTATCTAAAACTAGTGGATCCTGTGCTCTTATCTACATAATGAGCCCATGTAATTCATCTCTGCTGCTATGTCAAACCCTCTTTATCAGGAGGCCACAGACCAAGCTAACAAAAACGAAGAGGGTGGGATTTAATTACAAGGAGCATGGGAACTGAACCAAACTGGAAGTAACCTCATAATTTACTAAATCCAGAACTAAAACAAACCCCCACCATCCATACATAAGAATTTGGTGGGATTTTCCCCAAAGAAATTATTTATGAGAGATATTGAACTGAAATGAAACCTAAGGATTTTCTAAATTTTTAACTAAATAAAAACTAAAATATTAAAATATCAAATAACAAGAGTCAGGCTAATATTGCATTTGGTTTTCATCCCTGCATAGTATACTTTAGGAGTAGGATTTGAGAAATATTGATATTGATATTTCTCTATCAGCCTTCAAGGTTCCTATATAAACATCAGTCTTAACTTCTTAGAGTTCTTTAAAATTTTTCTACATATTACATGTATATTGATAGCCCGATGCCTTTATCGATTTTTATTCAAGTATTTTTATATATTTTGTTACTGCTACTTCATTTGTTCAGCTCTGTTATTGTCTATTTGCTTCCTCCACCTTTTCTTTTAATAACATTACTTTCACTGCCCACTGATAAAGATAACATAAAGTAGTAGAACACTAGACTAGGAGCCAGAACTTCTGGGTTCTTTGAAAGCCAACTCTGCCTCTTAGAAATTTTGTGACTGTGATCCTTAGTTTTTAGACTTGTCAAACAGGGATAATAATCCATCCTGCCTACTTAACAGTGTTGTTAAGAATGTTACATAAGCTAAATGGATGTGAAAACATCTTGAATACTTAAATACTTTTCAGTGTTGGAGGATTATTATTTTAATGCTATTTAGCAACTATCCCAGGTGTGAATTTACTAACTAGTCCAGAAAAGAGAAGGACTATTACTTGCTTGCTTCTTTTCATTCACTCAACTTTTATTTAGCCTTTATTAAGTTCCAGGTACTTTGTTAAACAGTGATGATTTTTAAAAATTAATAAAAGATAGCCCCTATCCTTACATAAGTAATTATGATAAAATGTGATGAGCATGAAAATAAAGGTGTGAATATGATGTTATAGGAGACAGGGATATGGATGGATTTCTTTACCTGGGAAGACAGGTAAAGCCAGAAATTATTTTTTTGGTTTGGTGTTTTATCTTTAGATGATAAATTAACAGATATCAAGCTATTGATCTAAAAATCTTATGAACAGTGTTTTTGAGAATGAACTATGTATCTCAAAAATTTAGCTTTGGACATTTTAGAATAACTGGGTTTTATTAATGCTGGATGTGCCACAACTTATTAACCATTTGAAAGTGCCAAGAATACATAGGATTGAGGGTATGACTTTGAAAAGAACTTGCTCTATCAGATACTTAAATTGATTATGAAATTATATGAAACAAAGTATTCCAGGTGCTGGAATAGACTGATGGGAGGAACAGAATATAGAGTCCAGAAATAGATCCAAGTATATATAAGAAATTAACATATGATCAATGTAACATTGTAAATCAGTGGACAAAATGATTTATTCAATAAATGATGTTAAAGCACACTTATTGAATAAAGATGAAAAAGAAAGCTCCATGTTTGCCTCATTTGTCTCACAGAGTAAATTCCAAATAGATAAAACATTTAAATGTTAAAAAAAAAAAGAAACCTGAGAAATCCTAGAAGAAAACATGGGTTAATACTTTATTATATTGAAGTAAGGAAAGTATGATATGAAAACTAGAAGCCATTAAAAAAAAAAAGGTTGAGGAATATAAGGGCAAATCCTATCAGACTGAGACAGGGGTGGGCAACCTTTTTGTGAGTGCGTGCCAAAACCAGCAAAATCTCTGACTCAAAATTCTTCTGCGTGCCAACCCTAATTTTTTGAGAACATGTTACGCCTACTTGATCTCTCTTAAGGTGTACGTATGTGAAGAACCTTGAAGAAATAATAAAATTCATTCGAGCGACAAAAACACAGTATATGATGATGAAAAATACATTTATTTTTAATATATACATGTTATGTAAAATTATTTATTTATCTAAGATGCACCTACACTGAATTTATCTGAAAAATAAAAAAGTCGATATTAAGAAAAAAATTGTAAATGGAAGATTATAGGAGAGGGTTTCGCGTGCCAGCAAAAGTTACTAGTATGCCATGTTTGGCACGCGTGCCAGGGGTTGCCCACCCCTGGACTAAGACAAATGTCTTCAACATATATGATAGACAAAGGACTGATATCATTAATATACTAAGAACTCTTAGAATCTTGAATAAACAGAATACCTCAGTGAAAATGGCAAAATAAAATAAGTATTGACTAATAAGCCTAAAAAGATCTTTAACTTTATTAGTAATCAAAGAATTGCAAATAAAAGCATGTGTATTTTCTTTTTTTCCTCACTAAAATTTATCAAAATTATGGCAATGGTTGAAACAGTTTTTGCAAGGAACATAGTCTCATGTACTATTGGCAAGAATTGTATTATAATATAAAATATGCATAGTCTTTGTTCATTAATATCACTTTTAGGAATTTACCCTGAGGAATTAATCTTAAAAATGGTAAAAGATGTGTGCACAAAGACAGATACTCATCAAAAAGTAGAAAACACTTAAATGACCATCAGTAGTATTCAACAAATACTGCTGTTAAATTATGTAAATTATGATACATATAAACAGTGGAACACTTTTCAGACAGTAATCTTGGAGTAGAATTTCTGGTCTAAAGACTATGAGTTACAAGAAGGCAGACTTTGGCTGACTATAAAAGTTAAAGTCTGTTGTCTGTGTCCATCTGTAATACTATCAACAATAAAGATAAATTTTTTAAAAAGTTAAAGTCTATCCATTTGTACCATTAAACAATAGCAAATAATGAGTTTCTCATCATTATAGTATTGAAGGAGAGGCTGGAGGAACCTTTTAGGTCTTAATTTTTCTATCACTTCATCAACATTCCTTTCTTGACCATCCTATCTAATTTGCCAACACATTCTCAGCACTCTCTTTTCCTCTTACTTTGCTTTATTATTTCTTTATTTGAAAAGGTCCAGGAATTATATAATTATTATCTAGTATCTGTGTTACCCTTGGTACCAACTGATATATATTATTTGTTTATTTATTGCCTCTCTTCCCCTTTAGAATGTAAGCTTCTTGTGGGCAGAGACTTTGTCTGCTTTGTTCTTTGCTATGTATATATCACCAGTGCCCAGAACCAGGTTTGGCATATAGTAGGTGTTCAATAAATATTTGTTGAATGAATAACTATTAGAGAAAGG